TTTAAATAACAGATTTCCCCGATATTTCCAGATGCATATTTAAATTATCACGTTGGGTTTGTTGGCATTCAGCTTAATTCAAGGTGGATCACATCATCCGCTGACACAAAAGAGAGAACTATTGAAAGACAAAGAGTATCCATCAACAATTTCTACCTAGTTTGGGACTCTTCAGAATCCCAAAACAGGGTCCCTATTTAAGGCGAAACTCAGGACTTGGACGTCACCATAAGAAAACGTTACTTTTTGGCCACTAAGGTAGAATCTGATGATAGATGAGCTGTAAGAGTCTGAGGTACATTTCCCAAACTGAAAAACGTTTAAAAAAGAGAGGAAACTGGATTCCAGATGACATGGCATCTGAGTGTAAACTTGCTAGCTTCCTTAGCCCCGCACCTGTTAGGATTATGGGTGCAGGTTTCTGAAGTGTTCGAAAAATGCGACAAAGATACTGCTGTTAAGCGCTTTGTGGCTTTCACTGCCCCTGTAACTTAGAAAACTCTCAGAGACAACCACTCTCAAACTAATGAAGCCTCTGTAAACGCAAAATCTGATAAAATAATAGTACAATGCATTTTTACATTGAGACTGCCTGAAATAGCTTTGAGTTGACAGACTGCTGTTAGTACACGAGTGGCGAAATCATCTATGTTCTGTAGCTGTGCTGGTAGACAACTCGGTTGGTGATCCAACGACTTCTTGTTCAAATCCTGAATCTGTCTGGATTTACAATTCATCTTCAACCATCACCGAATACATCATTGTTTTTTCCGTGTGTCTTTCAACCCGTTGACTCTACTTACTTTATTAATTTTATACCTCATCTTCTGCATCTCAAATAATTTTGTCCTGTCTGATTTGTGGATATTCGCTTCCTATTCTAATGGTGTCATGTTCTCTGGGTAGGCTTCCAGGAGACCTAATACTTTACTCAATTCAAGATCAGTATACATGTTGATGTAGATCAAGTTTATCACAATGTCACACTGCCAAATGTTAAACGTCAAGTAAGCAAGATGATCACCGCCAAAACGGATGAACACTATGATAAGAATATCGGCGAGAACTGAGGTCCCATTAAGGCCACCAAAAAGGATGAATATTTTATCCACGAAGAATTTCTGCAGCTTTCTTCACATTATTGTCACCGCTGAAGATATATTCTAGAAGAACAAAGAGAGCTTTACGACTTAACTATACAGCTTAGAGAAAGCAATAACGACAAACATATTCACTCGAATTATAATTCTTTTCCGCTATATGAAGTTTCATTTTAGATTACTACCTTTATTTGAAACTCGTCTATCAAAATCTATTGGTTTATCAATTCAGTGAGTATCGACTGAGTGTTCTCCGTCTGCTGTCAAGATGGTGAAAGGTTAACAATTATCATATGCAAGTTTAGACAGAGAGCCTCTCATTTTTGGGGAATTTATAACAACTCCCAGAATATTATACTTTTTGGATTACTTTGATTATGTCAAACTGGTCTAGTGTCTTGCGTACTCTTCTAATTGTGCTACTTATCTATTCTTTATAAAAATCAATCTTAATTGTTCCTCAAATGTAGGTTTATTTGTCCGTTTATAATTATTTTTACTAATCGTCAACCTAATCTATTCTTAGTAAATATTCATAGGTTTCCGATCGGAGTCGTAATAGTTTATTTTCAGTAGCATGAATACAAGTCAGATTCAGATTTTGCAAATTAATTAGCGATTAGCAATGTACATAGTTCGAGGTAGGAGATTTTCACCACAGTTCCCCTTACAAGCCTAACTGTTCAGGTCACAGTCTATGATGTGACTGGTAAGCAAAAAATCAAACATATTTGCAGAAAATTATATACTACTCATATCAACCAGCAGTGATTGCTAGCCATATCGAGGTGATCTAGACACCTGACATCCGTTTCACTCGTTTGGAGCCAAGCTCATCAGTGATATCACCAGTTCGCTCAAGCAGCTGGCCAGAAATCCGGTGATTTGAACTTATCTGGTCTCTCTGAGGTGAGTCAAGACCAGATACACCGTTGGTGAAGTCGGCTCCAAACGAGTGAAACGGCTATTCAGTGTTTGGATCACCTCGATTTGGCTAGCTACACACTGCAGGCTGGTGTGAGTGGTGTGCGAATACTCTTTAGTTTTGCTTCTTTTATTTTTAATAAAATTGTCCTCCATTCAAAAAGTCATCAAGGTAGTAGGACGAGAATATGTGATGCCTTTTGTTGGATAGGATTTTAAGTACTCACATGCGTTTTTTTCCTTCACATTCCCAGTGGAACATAGGGCTTCAAGCTTCTGTAGCAGTGTTTAATTTTTACAGGATGGGATTGATAGCCTCATGTCCAACCTTTCCTCTTTACTAGCATTATTTCTGGCTTAGCGAGGTAAAGGAGTGCGTCGGCTGGGGATCAAACCCCGAACCATGTGCATGGTCGGCGAGCGTCCTAACCGCTATGCCACCGATGCATGCGTGGTTTTGTTCTATTATCAAATAATTTATAGATTCTAGCTTACAATCTACAAATCATTTGACTTTGAGATATAGCTGGCGACATGTTTCGTGACGAAGTTTCCAAAGTTCTTATGAGAAATCATAACCGGAGTAGTTGATAATTGTTCAACAATGAGATAATTTGTGTTTGCGCTTATTTGAAAACTGACATACTGTTCAGTAGTGACCCTCAAACCGATTGGAAACATATACTTCTCGTAACTCAAAGAAGTAGAGTTGGATATCTTTTACATTCATGAATTATAAGTGCTGTAAAGTACTAAATCACAGAGAAACAGACATTCATTAGTTGTTAATTTTACATCAGCTCTTTGATTATTATGATTTCTCCTACAAAGTTAATCATAAATTAACTCTGTACATTAAATAAATACAAGTCAGTGTAACTTCATTTTAAGACTGATGAACAAGTCAGTATAAACAAGTGACTTAACCGTTCACCACAATCAGTATAGACTAAGCCAAACAATACGCAATGATTCATGAATGATGATTCTGTGGTACTCTTTATTGGGATAGCAATTTCGAGTACTATTTTGATTCATTCTCTTGCCTTTCGATTGATAAATATAATGCTTCAGAGCAATTCTGATGGCACTCTATAACCATGCATCTTTTTTTCATGTGTTCTCTGAATTAGGATCAAACAATATTGTGTCACCACTTTGGTCTGCTTCCTGTAAAGGATTGTTGTGTGGTCATTTTTTCATGCTATTATTAGTGATTGTTCTTCTCAGTCCTCTCTGATATACTGTATTTCAGCCTAACGTTTTTAAACGAATTAATACATCAGAATTCCTCAAATCTTCTTTCCACCCAGCCTATTAAAATCGACTGAATTGTTAGAGGTACAATCAATATGCCGTCTTGACATTGTTCTCACCATGGTAAAACTCAGATTAAAGTTCTTCCTTCCCTGCAAAAGTTTCTCTTCCTTATATCTTTTTTCTCTTTCTTTTATTCTACACAGAATTTTTCAAACACTGTGGAATTTTTCATGCATACAGATACTTACCAAATATTTGGATTTACTATTAGTGATACTACTTGATTTCGCATTTAATGGTTCCACTTCAATCATTTTATGGAATGATTAGTCTCACTGTCTCCTGTTTAATGCATGCTATGTTTGTACTAGGCATTCACCAGATAGATTTTACAGCCTTGAACTAATCTACTGATTTATTTTCTCCCACACTGTATGAATTTGTTAAAACGAGTTCTCATCACCATCTCGTATTTCTCAATATTTTGTAATTCCATTCGGCTCAACAGTTTTTCTTCACCCAAATACTACTTCTTTTCCTACCCTACAAATACTACTTACTATTATCGAAAAGCATCAACATTAACATTTCCCAGTGAATGAGAAACAAAACCTTATTGTTTATGCTGATGTTTGGTTATCTGATGATAGTTTTTTCATCACAGTAATATAACTAATCTGTTATTCTGCATAAAAAAAATTTGCCCGTCATACAAATGAACATTATTATAATAATAACAAATATTTTATTTTATAAATGCAAGAAGTGACTGGGTTCCAGCACAGAACTTTGCACAAAAGTGATGCATTTTGAGTTTCCACAATCCATGAAGCACACAAATGTAGACAAAGGAGAGGAGAAAGGGAATCAGAAGTGCTGCAATTAGCAGATACATGAGAGAGAAAGAAAAGTAATGTAGAAGAACATTACCTTTTGGTGGATACGAGTGATCATGAAGATTGAATGGATCCGCGCCACTGGGAACGATTCTGAGATTCTTAGAATCCCGTGGACCTCCACCAGGCAGTCCACATTGTGAACGATTTTATGGACTGATTCCTGGTTTTTGTTTGACCACATCTAACTATTCCCCAACCTAATCTTTTGTCAGCTGACATTGATTTCGAGAAAGGCATCGTCCAGGCAGGCACAACAGGTGTCTTAGCCATCTCACTATGTGTAGCTTTACAGCTTAATCGACTGACTTACCTCTATTTCCTAGCTATACTAACTATAAGAAACTGAAGAGAATTAATTGAAAGGGATGTTCTTTGTTCAGTCTGACTTTTAGTGCATGATGTGGTAATATTTGATAGTTAATTTAAGTACGTCGACATAAGCTGACTTATTTGTAGATGAGTTAAGTGAAGAGTATAGCTCGCAGCCATGTACTTATCTTATCGTTCTTCTTCTATTCCATTCCGATGAAAGTGTAAATGTAAGAAAACTGTATTTTATCTCATATAAAACATGTTTTTTTAAATCTCATCTTACTCTTGAATCACATACTTACGTCTATAAATTCAATGAATACTGTTATAAAAGTTGGAGTGTTATGACAGTGGAAATCACTGGTGATATCTTGTTTTACTTATACCATACTCAATGATTCTTCTATGCGCTGTTCAATTTAATAAGCGTTAAGTTATTATTATTTGAAAAATTGCCGTTTATGTGAATGCAAGTATTACATTTGTGCTTCTTTTGTCCTGACAGATATACGCATCAAGTGCTATTGGAGTCGCTTACCGAATTCTTTTCAACTTATTCTGATAGACCACGTTTCAGTTTAACGTTTCTTAGTGAATTAATCCATGAGAATCCAGCCTATGGAAAGCTGTTAGATGAAGACATAGAGAAACTGATAAAGAGAATCTATCATGAAGATGAAGAAGCTAATAATTCAACTGAACACAGCTCTTATTCTTCCAAGTATCCATTTGCAAATACATTAGTTATACTATTCTCTGACCATGGACCGCGTATGGGTGATGCCCGATTATCAGTTCAGGTAGGTCTGTGTTTACAAAACATTATTTTCGGAAAATCAGTTAACTACTTATTTGATCTTAAGTAGTATGTAAAATAAAATGAAAGTTTTCATCCTTCAAGTCTATATTAACATTTAGAAATTATTTATTTTCGTTAACCTGCATCATGACTAACTAATGACTTTGAATTTATTTTAAATGTGACTGATGTGAAAATGACACTGGCCAAAAAGCCATAAAAGTCCATTTCGTCTCAACTCAGTCACATAGAATTCGAATTCTGCGATGAGCTGATCACAAAACTTTGAGATACATGACTACAATGTTGCCAATTATCATTTTCACACGGATTGTAGTGTGTGGATTCTCGTAGGGAATTATACCTTTTTATGATAGCCATCTTTAATCCAAGACGAGTAAATCACAAGTAAACATTGACTGTGTAGCTGTCATATCAAGGGTAGAACTCAAAATTGTACACAATCTTTTTAACTAGAGATGTAGTTTATCTGTTTACTTTTCAATCTTTGAATTATATTTATTCACAAGTGTTTTAGCCTCACCAAAATTTTCGTGTTTACCAGAAGTGGATGAAAATATACCATAACGGTAATCGACAACTACTGACTAGATCATATACATGAGCTTAGTAAGTATAGTCTTAAACCATATCGATGATTGCTACTATTTGTTTTTCACAACCGTTCAGAACAACATGTTAACACTGCAGTATAGTACCAGAACCAGTAATGATCTCATGACTTTTGTAGGATAATATGTTACATACCTACAAATGAAGCACGAGGACCAATTTATACTTTGCCTTTCTTAATTCTACCTTGTTGCTTCATTCCTTCTATCTTGTCGGTTCCAAAACTGCATACCTATCGCTGTATCTGGCTAGTGGTTGGATTTAGTAATCTAATGATTTATGCCAATAAACTCCTATATGGTTTCGCTTTGTTTGGTAAAATATATATCCGTAATATGTAGATAAATTGGACGTTGAATATGTAGTCAAATAATTATTTCTGAAGATTAACTTCAGATAAAAAGCCATTAAGTGTCACGAAGCATTGGACAGCTGTTTTATTCCAGTTGATGATTCTCCGGCTGTTCCGTGAACTTTAGAAGTTCTCTGTCTTATATCCTTTCCTGATGAAATCCGCCTACAAGAAAAAATTGCTGCGGCGGGAACCTTCAGGAAATAAATCTACTTTTTAACAGTGTATGTATTGAATGCGTTATCCATTTCTGAAAGTTATAATGGAGAAGATTTGTAGCTCAGGTGGAAGTATTTTTGTTCTCTGAGCTGGATGGTTTATTTATTCTCACAGTTAATGCGGAAACCTACAAACACACTTAATTAATTAGTTGATAACACATGTGACTACTTATAACTTCACAATGAGTATTACATAATGAATCCTCTTAACTCACATACATTGTGATGACTCTAAAATCAAAAACGTAGTAGTCAAAAAGATGGTAGTGGTCTCAATGAAGAAGTAGCACATGATAGGAGAACAAATGTTTAGCTGATTTGTATTTTTTTAATGCCTAAGATTTGAAGGTTGTAAGCAAAAATGTCTTTGTTCACTGACCACCATTTGAACTATCGGGCGGAGTAATGTTATCCGTAAACCGTTGCCTATTAAATATTTATTTATAAGTAGAAAAGGGACTCTTAGTTTAGAGTAATTTTGAACTAATTCACAATGTGCGTCTCTTTACATTTCTTGAGGCACAAAGATGTCAGAGGAGCGCTGAAAGTGAAGAAAATGTTGATTCACTTTGAAAATTAGGAGATTTTCAAGATACTGTCATCGTGGTTTGATTTATATTGTTCGCAACAATCAAAATGGTACACTTGCATACTTCAGGAGAAATCGTACTAGTCATCACCATAATCATATGATTTTATTATTATTGTTCCCTTGAGTTCCTAGTGGAACATAGGGCTTCAACTACACGTCTCCACTTGCTTCTGTCTTCTGCCATACCTTTCGTCTGCATCCACGTTATTCCATACTGTTTCAACTCTTCTTCACACGATCTCCTCCGTGTCACCCTTGGACGTCCCACTCGCCGCTTCCCTTTCGGGTTCCACTCGAGCTATGGCCTGACGCGCGATGTCACCCAGCGGCCTCCTCAGCCAGTGAGTGTCCAATCCATCTCCACTTTCTCCTGCATATTTGTTGGGCGATTGGTTCTTATTTCGTTTGTTTGTTCCCATAGTTTCTTGTTGGTGATTCTTTCCGGCCATCTGATCTTCAGTATGGAACGGAGACAGCTGTTGATAAATGTCTGCAACAGCCTGTTGGAAATATTCTTTGTGACCCGCCAAGTTTCTGATCCGTATAGCAAAACTGACTGACTTGACGTTTGTATTGAAAATCCGAATTTTGTTGTTGATGCAGGCTGAGTGACGAAGATTTCCAGATTGGTTTCAGGTTGATGAATGTGTTTCTCGCCTTTCCGACTCTCGATTTGACATCCTCGTCCGTTCCTCCTGTAGTTGAGACAATGCCCCCTAGATAAGTGAAGTGAATGAAGTAACCTCTTTCAAATCCCTCGCGTTGATGGTAATTGGCACTGGATGTTGCTGCTGCTGTTGTTGTTGGTTGGTTATTTTCATAACCTCTGCCTTGTCTATGTTCACCTGGAATCCTGTCTTTGCTGCTTCTTCGACCAGTTTGTCGGTTTTCGCTTGTAAGTCTTCGATTTTGTGTGACATCAAACATAAATCATCCACGCACGAAATCCAGGTCTTCTAGGTTCTTCATATCGGTTATTTTTTTGTTCACATACAAATCTTAAAATAGGTAAGCCTTTCGATACTGACTATGGAGGCCATCAACTTCATTTAGTTAATTAACTGGTCAATAATTCCGAAATCAATATGACTTAGAGACTCAGCTTTAGGAAGGTCTGCTAAAAACATTTGATAATTGATTGGAACAAATGATAGCTTGCTTGTGGTTTCATTTATTATATGGAATTCAAACACTGTATATCGTCCTCACTTTTAGTTAACGCACTGTGCTAAGTTGTAGATATGATTTATTTTAAGAGTTTTTTACCCAATAAACATTCGATCTCACTATGGAACATACATAGGCATGTCGTAGAAACTGTACACTTTTGGTTAGCTTTGCCACCTAACACAATACTGTTTTGTATGACTGAAGCATTCTCAAGAGTTTCCAATCTCAACATAACCTCATTTAATTTATATGCGTTTGTGCTAAAGCTAAAATAGTGTTTTCATTGATAAGTGTATAATAATGACTATCAACAAGCGAGAATCTCAACGTCAATTTTTGAGCTGAACCTGCAGTTTGTGAATTGCACATTCCTAGGTGAGAATTCACCTCGACTTCTCTTGGAAAGCCAAAATATTCGTATTACAGCAGACAATCTGTTTTGACGCGATGAATGGTAATAAACATAACAGGCGAAACTACAAGATGGTGTATACTATCCATAGTCAGATTTTTGGTGGTTTGAAGTGACTCACTTTTCAGAGCTGAATCTGTCCGGACAAACCATTGATCAACTCAGTTCAAAAAGAGTGAAACAGCCATCTGGTGCTTATATCACACCATTTCCGTCAACAGACACTATTGTTTGACCTAGGTGATTTTCAGTTAATCATGTGAGTCTATAGTATATACCATCCTTTATGAATTTACCCGTCAGCCGATTTCTAGTATACATTTTATAAATTCCGTATAAAATATATGCAAGGCATAATATGATAAAAATTAAATTAATCGAAGTTCATTTCGTTTCATCTCACTTCAGGCACATTCTGTCGTACATACTTATGATTTCTAATTTTATAATGATGACCTTATGAACTAAGATCAAACTTGTTTACTTAAGAATTTATTAGCATTATACTTCGACAGTGATAAAATTTTGTCACATACAGTAGTGATAGATGTAATCACTTGATTCTGAAAAAAACAGCAGATAAACACACAGGATACACTACTTTATTAGATGTCAGTAACACGAGTAGGTTAATTTATTCATGAATTCGAAGTAACACTATGTAACTAAGTGTCAGTATACTCCTGAATAGATTCTAAACTATTCGCTGAAAATACTCTCCACCCGAATAATAATACCCCCTATCTGCTTTATTCTGATTTATTCTTCAAACTAATTGAAAGTTTGACTCCATGCAGTACCAATTTTCTATCAGCAATCGTTATAGACTGACTGACTGGTTTCAGCAAAGAAGTTTGCACCGATGTGCAGCAGTTCGAGTCGCCACACTTCACTTTGCACACAAAGCAAGAGAAGAAATAAAAAGAGATGCAAAATAGAGACACTAAACAGAGATATAAGGCAAAAAGAATAGTAATATCGAAGGACAATATAGTTTTATTGGATATTATAAGTCACAAGAAGTGGATGCATCTGTGCTATGCATTGAGAACGATTTTGAGCCATATCACCAATTGTCTCCAGCCACTGCTATTTGCCGTTCCGAGGACCCCAACCAGGAAGTCAACACCTTCCTACGTGGCTTAAACTAACTGTTGTGGATTTCATTGAATAGCGCCATGTTTTCGTTTGACCACAGCTAGATCATTTCCAGCCTGACTCTATGTCAGCTAACATTGCCCACTGTCGAGGAAGGCGATGGTTAGACATGCGTAAACACATGTCCTAACCATCTCAGTCGATTTAACTTCACAACCTCGTCGATTGATTTACCCTCCTTACCTAGCACTCGACCCAGGCCTAACCTTAATATTTCTCACCTTATTATACCAATTCATACGGGAGATAGAACGCAGGAACCTATTATCAAAGACAAACAGCCTTTTCATGTCCTCTACTCTCACTGTCCTGGCCTCATCCATAAAGGAGGATGGAGCGAACTGCTGAGCAGTACACACGCCCTTCGGTCGACAGCCGGGTCGAGTCAGTCAATCGCTATAGACTGATTCGATTCTTTGAGTTTAGTCAAATTGCGTACAACGCTGATGATTTCGACTGAAAA